GGCTGGGGATTCGAACCCGCCACCTTAGGTGTACGTGGCTGGCGCCTTAGCCGGTTGAGCTATAGGCGCCGAGCCAGGTTCTTCTTTTCAACCCATCTCCACTTGCTAGTAAAATCTATCAACTAAAATAGAATCACTAGATCTCGAGGCAAGAATAAAATCAAAACTTATAAACACAGCAACAGTCCTGCACAAAAAATTTGAGGTAGAGTGAGGTGGCTCATGCCGGTAATCCTAGCAATTGGGAAGCCGTGGCAGGTAGATTGCTTGAGCTCAGGAATTCAAAAAGAGCCTGAGCAAGAGCAAGACCCTGTCTCTAAAACTAGCCAGGTGTCAGGCTCCTATAGTCCCAGCTACTTGGGAGGCTGAGGCAAGAAACTCACCTGAGCCTAAGGTTGCTGTGAGCTATGGCACCATGGCACTCTACCCAGTGACAAATCCACCCCCCAAAAATTGGAGTTTTACTTTACTATGTTTTCTTTGCTTACTTCATAATAAAAAATTTTTTCAAGTCATTTTTCTTTGAAAACATTGCTAAATGTTTATGCAGAATTCTATCACAGGAAATCCATTTAAGATCCATTTTCCTTAAAAAAAAAAAAAAAAGTTACCACTGATCTAGAATCTTGAGGTTTTATTTTTTTTGAGACAGAGTTTTATTTTATCACCCTTAGTAGAGTGCTGTGATATCACAGTTCACAGCAACCTCCAATTCCTGGGCTTAGGTGATTCTCTTGCCTCAGCCTCTTGAGTAGCTAGGACCACAGGCACCTGCCATAATGCCCCGCTACTTTTTTTTTTTTTTTTGGCAGGTTGCAGTTCGGCCAGGGCTGGGATTGAACCCATCACCCTTGGTATATGGGGCCAGTGCCCTACTCACTAAGCCACAGGTGCCGCCTGAATCTTCAGATTTTTAACCTTCCCATGTCTTGTCTTTTCACATTGAGATGGGGTTTCGCTACATTGTCCAGGCTGGAATACAATGTCTATTCAGAGGCATAATCATAGCTCACTTCAGCCTCAAACTCCTGGCCTCAAGCAATTCTCCCACCTTCTGAATAGCCAGCACTACAGGCATGTGCCAACACACCCAACTCATGTTATTGCATTTTAAAAACACAAATTAATTTATGTTAGGATAAGAATGTTTTAGGCTTAACAATACCTATTACCAAATTATGTTTTAAAGGATTATGTCAATTTATATAACCATCAGCAGTATGACCACTGTGTTGTCTCTTCACCCAGGATAAAGACTGTTCATTACTAATATTGTTTAAATTTCATACATGACATTTGGTTTAATTAGCTTTCTCAGTACCTTTGAGGTGACAGTATTCTATGAATATAACCTATTCTTCCTCTCTTGTGGCATGTTTATTCTGACTCTTTACCAGCCAGTTATGTACTCAGGCTTACTTTTCTGTTGCCAAATGCTTCTTAATTTTCCCGCATATAATTTCTGCTAATTATTTTTCTCTTTCATTTCAATGTTCTTTAGTGCTTTTATTTTCTGATAGAAAACTTACTTTAAAATCCTATA